CGAACTACTGACAGGGTATGTAGCTATATTGAGACACGAGCACACATCTCATTCTTCATTCAGCAAAAGGACATGCCGTTAATTTTTATTGGTCATAGCTTTGGCGGCCTCGTAATAAAAAAGGCAGGTGCCCCTTATTCACTCTTGACTCGCCCTCACATTTGCAAAGGCTTTGGTGATATTACAAGCACTTCATTCTCTAGATACGGACTCTCAAAGGCTGCTTCGCTCGACAGTGGGGATTGTGTTCCTCGGAACGCCACACAATGGCGCCTCTTCTGCAGGCCTAGGGAGTTTGTTCGCCAGAGGGATGAGAACAATAGGATGGGGTTGGGAAGAGGGTCTTCTAGAGACTCTGAATTATGGCTCTGATGAGCTATGGAAGCTCAGCGACAACTTTGCAAGATTTTTGTCTTCGTTACAACTCATCTGTTTCTATGAAACCAAAAAGACTTCTATATTTGGGGTTGTACGTCGATTCTTTCTGTACACGCGCATACAATTTACAAACTCGTATAGAATACCCTTCTTGTCAACGAACAGTCGGCATCAATTCATGGAGTGCGGAGGGTCTCGCTCGATTGTGATCACTCCCAGATGAATAAGTTTGCCTTCTGGGACGACCCTAATTATATTAAAGTTCTTCAAGAATTGAAGCGCATTATCACTCAAGCATTCGAAGAAAAACCCCGTGAGTACCACTCCAACTGCACCTTTGTTCTGATACTCATGTGTTTATTTTTCAGCATCCCCTGAAGAAGAGAACATTTTGAAGAGGTTACTATCACCAGCTGTGGAGTCCGACTCTCCACATGAAGAATGTCTAAAAGGAACTCGTGAGGACATCCTCGCCGAAATCGATGCATGGACACTTGATCTAAATTCCCCTAATATCCTCTGGATTCAAGGCTACCCTGGAGCAGGAAAATCGGTCATAGCCTCGACTTTCGTTTCTCGACTACAACGATCAGGGCGACTTGGATCATCTTTCTTCTTCCAGAGGGAAAAAGACGTTTTGACCACCATGAATGCGTTATGGAAGAAAGTAGCTTTTGATATCTCACGTCGATATACGTCCGTGAGAGCGCTTGTGGTTGCCAAGCTACGAGAAGTGGAACATTATTCGAATAGGGGTGACATCAACACTTTATTTCGCGAGATCATACACGAACCTTTGGAAAATAGTGGAGATATACCAATCGAAAAACTTCCTATCGTGGTAATCGATGCCCTAGATGAATGCGGAGGACTTGAAGGGGCGAAATCAACCCAGCGAACACGACTGGTGCGAACACTCGAATTATGGTCCAAATTACCCAAGAGATTCAAGCTCATTGTAACGAGTAGACAAGAATTCGATATTAGGAGAGTCTTCCAAAAGACGGACCACTGTCCCCTTGATATATCAGTTGGTCACAATGAAAGCTCATTTAAAGACATCAAGTCATTCCTCGAATATCGTTTCACATCAATCACCAATCAATACACGTCACTCTCTGATGAGGAATGGCCCGGACTGCAAATCATTGATAAATTAGCAACTAAGGCCGCCGGATTGTTCATTTGGGCGGAGACAGTCGTCAAGTTCATTCATCAAGGGGATCCAAAGACTCGATTGAATCGAATCCTGGAAGGAAACAACTCCGGCGTAGTAGATCTATATTCACGTATCCTCGATACATCCTTACCCTCTCCAGATGCAGAGACAATGCAGGCTTTTCATGCGATCGTTGGAACGGTCATTTT